GACGAGTGGGCGGACTTCGGCTTCGACCTGCCCGACTGCAAGGCCCGCAAGCAGCCCATCAAGGAGGAGTTCACGGAGGCCGAGATCCACTGAGGGCCGGGCCCGGCCAGAGCCTGTGCCACCGCGCAGAGACCCAGGCCGCCTCCGCTCTCCTTCCTGTGTCCAAAACTGCCTCCGGAGGCAGGGCCTCCAGGCTGTGCCCGGGGAAAGGCAAGGTCCGGCCCATTCCCCAGGCACCTCACCGGCCCCAGGAGAGGCCCAGCCACCAAAGCCGCCTGCGGACAGCCTGAGTCACCTGCAGAACCTTCTGGAGCTGCCCTAACGCTGGGCTTGCGGGGCAGGGGCCGGCCCGCTCTCAGCCCTGCCACTGCCGGGCGTGCTCCATGGCAGGCGTGGGTGGGGACTGCAATGTGGGCTCTGACCTCCAGGCCTCATCCTAGAGACTCTGTCATCTGCCGATCAGGCAAGGTCCTTCCAGAAGAAAGAATCCTCTTCGCTGGTGGACTGCCAAAAAGTATTTTGCGACATCTTTTGGTTCTGGAGAGTGGTGAGGAGCCAAGCGACTGTGTCTGAAACACCGTGTATTTTCAGGGAATGTCCCTAACGGGCTGGGGACTCTCTCTGCTGGACTTGGGAGTGGCCTTTGCCCCCAGCACACTGTATTCTGCAGGACCGCCTCCTTCCTGCCCCTAACCACCACCAAAGTGTTGCTGAAATTGGAGAAAACTGGGGAAGGTGCAACCCCTCTCAGGTGTGGGAAGCATCTGGTACCACCTCAGCCAGTGCCCCTCAGCCTGGCCACAGTCGCCTCTCCTTGGGGAACCCTGGGCAGAAAGGGACAGCCTGTCCTTAGAGGACGGGAAATTGTCAATATTTGATAAAATGATACCCTTTTCTACATGGTGGGTCAGCTTTTTTTTTTTTTTTTTTTTAACTTTCTTTCTCAACATTCCCTTTCCAGCTCAACCTAGCACCCATGAGCCGGGCTAGGGAAGCTGAGTGAGAAGCCAGGTGGGCGGGACTTTTCCCCAGGAAGGCCGGGCGGGGAGGAAGCCTAGAGGGAACGCTGGGAAGGGCAAATTCACAGGAAAGCTCTGCCGTGGGAGCAGCTCCTCCCTTGCCGCAGACACCTTCTCTACCACTGCGAGGTCCAGAGGGCGTTGCTTTCTTTTCCAGGGGGCGGCGGCAGCAGTCAGGGAACAGACTGAGGTAGGTGCAGGGGGCGTCTAGGCCTTCGTGGAGCACCCCAGGAAGTTAGTGGGCCCCAGGGAGGCAGTGTCTGCAGAGGACCCTGCTGGGGCCACCTCCATCCACGAGGAGCAGCCTGAGCCTTGGTGGCTGGAGCTTGACCATCCCGGAGCACAGCTCCAGGACAAGGAACCGGAGCCCCCGGGGAGCCTCACAGGTGTGACAAGGCCCTTCATTCCAGGCAGGTGGGCCAGTGGAGAGTGGTGAGCAGCCAAGTGACTGCGTCTGAAACACCGTGTATTTTCAAGGACTGTCCCTGACTGCATCTTGCCTGTGCCGGGGGCTGGGGACTCTCTCTGCTGGACTTGGGAGTGGCCTCTGCTCCCAGCACACTGTATGCTGCAGGACCGCCTCACTCACGTAAGCTGAGACACCACCCAGAGTGCAGGCTGCCTGGCCCCTTCTGACCCGGCCAGCTCCACACCCTCTGCCTAGGGTATGTGTGGCATCAGCTCCTAAGGGCTAGGAGCTTCCCCGACTAACATCTCCCAGAAGCAGGTAAGCCCCCCAGGGCACAGCAAGGTTAGACACAGCCCCCATCCCCAGATCAGGACTCCATCTTGCTGAGTGGCATCACCGTCACCAGCCTCCCCTTATTTAAAAGCAGTGACTGGTGTTGCCGCAGGTGCCTGGTCTACGAAGACGCAGGCGTCCCTCTCCCCCACTGTCCACCTCCCCGGGGGCCAGTGACAGCACAGCCGCCTGGGTGCACGTTTGTGGGGGCAGCAAGAACGGGGCTGCCGCCTCTCAGGGGATCTGGCTGCAGCCAGGGCGAGCGCCCGGCCCTTCTTTCTAGCTGCTTCTAGCCGAAGGGCAGGCTCTGGCTGCTCAGCTTCTGGGGTTCCATCTCCCTAGAAAGGTGCCCACACCCAGGGCATCAGTCAGTAGGGGCAGCAGCAGCGGACTCAGGGCTTTCCCAGGGTGGCGCAGCCACCCCAGCTGCATGTCACCTCAGCTCTCCATCTTACTGCCATTTCGTAGATGAGGAAGCTGAGGCCAGAAAGGCTAAGACCCGTGCCCCAGACATCACGCCCATCTCCTGGGGGCTGGGCACCTGCTACCCGAGTCCACCTCCTGAAGCCCCACTCTGCCCCATGCTCCGCTTCTAGAGCGGCGGGGGCCCATGGGTTCCCGAGCCCAGCACAGATGCGCTTCAATTCCAGGGGGTTGTTGAGTTGTTTCTTAGGCATGTTCCCTGTGCGCCGAGTCCAGTGAGGCTGTCCCAAGAGCCCCTGTAGTGTGCTGCTGGGGGGGTGGGTGGCACAGAGCAGGGAGAGGCCCAGGGGCAGCTGTCACTGGAACCCCAGCCAGACGTCCAAGAAGCCGGTCAGAACACGGAGCAGCCAGATGGCCCCAGCTGCACCTGTACAGCGAGCCCGCGCAGCCTCCTTGCGCTGGAGAAGCAGCTGTGAAAGTAAACGGAGTCGAGACTTTGCCGTGGTTAGGAGAAAATGCAAATTCCCAGGAACAAGAATCCTTTAAGCGATGTTTTTTATACAACTAAACAAATCAACAAATAAATCTTGAAGGCAGATGGTTTTCCCGGCAGTGCAGGGGTAGGAGGGAGGCTGCCGGCACTCCTGGAGCTGAGGGGGACGGGCAGTGGTCCTGAGTCTGCTCAGAGAGGCCAGGCAGGAGGAGCTCACCAGGCAGGTCAGCTCAC